AATGGAAGATGGTTCTGCTGAATCTGCAGGTGACTGCTACACGGCTCTTTAGCCGAAGCCAAGGATAACGAGAGCAAATCATTTCCCAACTCAGGGTTTGACCTTGTAAATCATAACTTATAAATTGTAACCATATAGTAGATCGCTGGCCCCAGAGTACCTCGATGGATGGCCTTTTGATATACTATTTTCATGTTCTTTACCAATATTCCAAAAACTGTATTTCATTACTAAATGCTCATTTTAAGAATTACACTATGATAGACTCTGTAATCTAAAATTTTAAGAACCGCATAACATTTTAAGAACTGCCATTACTAAAAAGTGTTTTCTATGTTTATTGGGTACTGAGAATAATTTCCAGATTGCTCTTTGAGTATATGGTGGACATGAACATGGCTGTAAGTTTTTGCTTCTGTTGAGCCATATATCCTAAGTGGATTATTACGTCCTGCAGGACTCCCAACTACTTTTTCACAGATTTTTCCAAAGCCTTTTCTCACTTTACAACTTCACACACATTATGGAAGTATACCTGTGTCATCAGGACTCACTTATTAAGTGTGTTTTTTTTTATTTTTATTTTTATTTTTTTAAGATTTTATTTATTTATTTGAGAGAGAGAGAATGAGAGAGAGCACATGAGAAGGGGGAGGGTCAGAGGGAGAAGCAGGCTTCTCTCTGAGCAGGGAGCCTGATGCGGGACTCCATCACGGGACTCCGGGATCATGACCTGAGCCGAAGGCAGTCGCCCAACCGACTGAGCCACCCAGGCGCCCTTAAGTGTGTTTTTTTTTAAAGTTTCTTTGTAATTTAATTGATAAAACAAAAAATGGTACTGTAAGGTTGATTTGATTTGTGTTTATTCAAACTTTAGAAAGACTAAATATTTTTCCACGTGTATTTTTTAAAAAGAATTACAGTATGATATCAGAAAAGAATCCTATAAATTTGAGTACACGGTGGCCTTTAAAGAATTCTAAAATAAAAATTCACACTATATAAGAGACATAACTTTTTGCCTATGGACAAATCCTCTCCTATTTCATTCTCACCATTAAATATTTTTAAAACCTTGGTCGGGAGAACCCAGAAAACACCGAGTTAACTCCCTGCTTTGCCTATCCTGAATAAGGATGGAAGTTACTGCTTGCAGAAACAATCCTGGGATTCAGATTGGCTTCTAGTTGCCTGGTTATGAAATTTGAGGAAGGTCAATTACCTATTTCTGTGACCGTTTCCTCATCTGCCAAAAAGGAACAGTAATGTTTTTGTTTGTTTTTACTAAGCTGATAGGAATGTTATGAAGGCAAAACTGCGTAAGTAATCATAAATCTTATATAAGGTTTAAGATCTAATTGAAAGAATCCTAAAATATAAGAATCTCTCTCCGTGTGTGTGTGTAACATGTGCTATATCAATCAACGCTTATGAAACCCAAACACAGCAGCACTCCCTGAAGTAAAGCCCTGACATTGCCTATTCTTCTTCAGTCCTGCCATTTGGTAACAGCCCCAAGCGAAAAAGTGGTAACCTGTCCTAAGCACCATCCCGTTAGTGATGGGTGGTCCAAATCCATCACTACATCATAACAAGATTTCTGTGGCTAGCTAGTTTTTTATGATAGTATAATTAAATCTGAAACAAGGGCTTTCCGCTCTTTGCTTTCCTAAATCTCTTCTTGACTCTTGAAAGTAAAAGTTATATTTAGTTTTTTAGGTTATTCAAGGATTATGCTTGCTCCAGTAATTTCCTTAGTCACTGTCCTAAAAGCACTTTTTTTTTTTTAAGATTTCATCTATCCATTTGAGAGAGAGAAAGAGAAAGAGAGAGAGAGAGAGAGAGCACGAGCACACAAGCAGGGGGAACAGCAGGCTCTCCACTGAGCACGGAGCCTGATGTAGGGCTCAATCCCCAGGACCCTGGGATCGTGACCTGAGCCGAAGGCAGACGCTTAACTCACTAAGCCACTCAGGCGTCCCTCTAAAAGCACTCTTGAGGACTTGAAGAAGGTGAATTTAAAGGACTGGAAAGAGAATTGGAGTAGACAGTTCTTAATTTTAGGCCATGATGCTATAACTGGCTTCCCAGATGTGAAATACTGGAAGCATTTCATGTATTTCATGGAGACGGTTTATGGATACGCTTACTATCTTTGTATAAAAGAGATGATAATAAATCACTATGGCTGACTTCGGTAGCCAAGTCCACTGGTCCAAGAAGTGTGTCATCACCTATGTGGGAAGAGTAAGTTACCCTTGACAGAGGTCTGGATGTATTTGGAGAAGTCACCTGGCTTTTCTGAGACCTGGATCCCTCCAACTAAAAAACATGAATAATGCTTGTTCATAGGATTCAAGTACCTTCCATAATTCCTAAGACATACATATATCTTTGAGGAGTGTCAAAACATATCATATATGTGTCTTCATAAACATGTATTCTGTTACATAAAATTTGTATTACTAAACGTGAAGATTTTGAAAATAAAGGTTCATATTACAGTCTATACAAAAAGGTTTTTTTCTAGAATGTATTTTAAAAAAATTATTGACTGTAAGAACAAGATATATATAATTGGATCAAAAAATCAAAACTCTTAGTTTAACATTATTTTTATAGAAAGGAAGGATAGCTTTATTTTTTCTCTTACCACAAATATTGCCAATATTTTTTTATTTCTGTGTGGTAAGATACCTCATAATTCCCAGAGACATAATTTCATTCAAGATACTCTTCAAATAGTATTGCATTTCTCATTCAAATGTTAGAGTATTTTACAAGACAGTGCAAAAATCCTAAAAAACAATTTTGAAATACATACATGAATTTTTATTTTTTAATCTTGCAGGTTTCTTGGGTTTATTCTGCCAGAGGGAAGTTTTCTAATACCAGGTGAATTAAGATAGATTCTGTTCCATAGATAGTTGGCCAGAATCTGCCCGAGCCTCATAAGTAATGCCATGTCGGTGGCTAGAAGAAAGTTAAAGAACAGTATCTCTGGAATGTTTCCCTTTCACATGAAACTCCAGCTCTAAAAAAGCTCCTGAAGATGATGTATTTCCTATTTCCATAAAACACAACCCTTAGACGCTCAGCCATATTTTCAGCAAATCCAAAAATAAACCCAGTTTCTTCAACTAGCCATTGCTCATTTAATATTTTGAAACACGATACAGCATGATGTTTTCTAAAGTTGAAGTACAAATCACAATTTTAAAGCACATGCTACCAATCTCTCCAGCTAAGGAAAGAAATGGGCGGAATAACAGAGTGGCACCGTGTCAGATTGAAAAAGCAAAATATTTTAAAAGTAAAAGCTATAATATCTTAGAATTGTAACTATTTGATTTCAGACTTTTTTGGGTAATTTTAAAGAAAATCATACTTTTGCTACTGGGGTATATTCAGTCATTCTAAGTGACAAACCTGGTGCCTCAAGCCAATACTTTAGTCTACAAATTTGGATCTACTATGCAGATTTGAATTATTTCAGAGTTCCACTCTAAAGTTTACTGACAGTAGACTTTCCCATTTGAGCATCATGATTCAATAAGCACATTATTCTTTATCAATTGGCTTCCTTCTTAGAAATTGGTTTCATACAAAGATTCCTTTTATCGATACATAAAATATTAAACTATGATTTGGTTACTATAAAATAAAGGCATCAAATTTATTAAACATCCGGCCTTTAGGGAAAATCAAACAGCTGAACCGAAATTAACATCCTTTTTTGCCTCTCCTGCACGCACCCAGCAGATGCCATTTTTCAGACCTGTGATCACGTTATGTCCAATGATATTTTAAACAAGTGCTATTTAATGCTTCACAAAATATGGAGGGTAAGCATGTCATCCTTTTGAGGTAGATGACATAATAGTGTACTTTTTAAAAAAAGCATCATAAGAAAACAGGTGACTGGATCTGAATCATTTCTTTTCTCCTTCCTTCATCTCTTATCCCCATATCCCCCCACTTCCTGTGTCCTGTTCACACAACACATGTACTTCCTGAGATTCTTCTGCTTCTCCTGAGAGCATGAAAGAACAGAGACATCTTTATGATGAATCTAGAAGTGGCCAGTTTTTCTCTCTACCTACAGGATTAGGAAGAGAGCTGAAGAGAGAGTGAGCAGCACTCAGGGCTTTGGGAGACAGTGACAGTAACATTGCTTGGGAGACTCAGAGCACAGTATTCTTCAGACTTCACCGAGGAAGATTTTATTTTATTATTATTTTTTAAAGATTTTATTTATTTATTTGACAGAGAAAGAGAGAGGGAGAAAGCAAGCACAAGCAAGCAGGGGAGAGCAGGCTACTCACTGAGAAAGGAGCCTGATGTGGGGCTTGATCCCAGGACCCTGAGATCATGACCTGAGCCAAAGACAGCCACTTAACGAACTAAGCCACCCAGGCACCCCCACTGAGGAAAATTTTAGCTAGACTAAGTCACAAAATTCCCCAAACTAAGAAAATCATTAGACATACTGAGATTGGTAAGATAAAACACACATTTGCCTAGCACTGATTTCCTGGTGAATGCAATCATTCATCAGCATTAGTCCACACAGCACCCAAGTACAAATGAGCAAAAGGCACCCCCTTTGGGCAGACACATGTGGGTAGGTGCATGGCTTGAGAGTGGAGCAGGGCTGGATTCCAACATCCTCTTGCCACCTCAAGCAGGCAGCATCATGCAGAACATACTCTGAACAACTGGACATGGGGATCCTATTTACATAGGTCTTTCTTTTTAGCACATTACAAATCCTAAGACAAAAATAATGTAACCGGAACATTTATCTATTCTCATTGCAGAGTAGTACTGTGTCAGATTGAGAATGTAAGATTATCTATTGGCAAATGACAAATTCACTCAGTATAAATTCAGGTGAGCTGAAAAGGATACCTGATACAGATTCTTTGTAGTGAAGTCATCAAAGAACAACCAAAAAAGTCACTCTCCTTGTTTATACTAATAGGAGAGTGAATACTTACCACCATCTTCAACTGTAAAATGGAACATATCACTTGTGGCATTGGCCCCATCTTTTAAAACGTAGCATATTTTCATGTCGTCAATGTCAGCTAGAAAATAACCCAAGAACAAGATGATTCATTACTAAGGCGAGATTGGTGACTCATTACTTATGGTAAATTCAATGGCTCTTACTTCTCTGTAACCATGTTTAGGTTTCCTAATTCCAAGGGAAGCAGTGCTATATCTGATTTCTTCTATCTCTAAGCCCCTGATTTCAGCTGTCCCACAGAAATCTGATCCCTTACCCAGACAGAGTGCAAGAGTGAGGCTATAATAATAGCAAGGTGCTGTCCCTCCCAGTGGTATTTGCATGTTCATGCACTAAAGAAGTGACTGTCTAAATATGGAATGTCAGACTTCATGACAGGTGGAAAGGGAGATATTCTGAGGCATGAAAGATTTCCTGGCACTACCAAAATCACACTCTTTCCCTCCCTGGAGGGCGGCCCTTGGAGGAAAGAACTTCCCTGCCCTCCTCTGGCTAACTTTTCTTACCTCCTGCAATATATAACAGGCTGTTTTTAAGCTCTCCAGAGTTTGAAAGAAAAAAATAATAAAAGGCATTTTAAATCCCAAAGACTGAAATAATAGCCATCTGACCCCAGAAAGCAATTAGAACAGAAAACATCTAATAAAAACTTTATTCATAGTGAAAAGTTATCCTGCCTCAGGAATGCTCTTTTGCTTTCTGTCCTAGCTCTCAAATATACTGGCATAGTTTGTTTTCAGTGATTGACTAACATACAACTTCAAAAATTTATTCACCCATTTTACTAGTTCCTCTCCTAAATGACGCAGCTCAGACAACATAATAAACCGAGTATCATCCTGTTCTGTGATGCTCGCGGAATACGCCGTTATTGACCTGGGCCGGGAAGTAAGTAGTTATTTCCAAGGCTACTTAAAATCAAGATCACAGCTAAGAGTAGCTTCCACAGTGGCATGTAATGTTCATGTGTCTCAGGGGCACTCTATAGTTTTTCCATCTTCTAAGAGGTCTACCAAGTTTGTGCTATGAAGTCTACAAGCATCATATGTAAGAAAATGACTTTATGAAAGAATAAGCTCAAGTGATGTAAGGTACTGGAATCAACACCCCATGAATTTCTGTGACCCCATTTGACAGATGTGAAACGTACAAGCTCCCTTGGCTCATACAGTTCTGAAAGGTGACTTGCTTACAACCCGACATCTGAGGAGGGGAAAATCTGATTTAATAGTTAAGGGTAGCTTCTTGTAAAAGGGGTACTAGGAGATGAAGCAAATTCAAGACATTTTATTCCCCCTTAGCATTTTTTTTCTAACCCTGCTCTAATTTCCCCAATTTCTGCCTAGTTTTGTGTCTTTCTGTGTGGCTACCTTTCCTAGAAGGCGGAAAATTTCTGGGATTGGTTTTTTTTTTTTTTTTTTCGTCTTAACTTCCCAGAGTCCTTTGCTTAGGGTCTAATATCCAGTAACAGCTCAAATGTTTCTTAACTTAAAATGAAAGAGCCCAGAGGTCTGGTGGACCACGCTCGGACTGCTACCTTCGCATGTGTGATGTTTCGACAGAGGTAAGGAGCGAAGCCCCTGCAAGCTCTTTACCTGTCTACTCCTACGACTCTGACCCCTTACAACCTTTAAATTCATCAGGAAGGAATGAAGTGAACTGTACCCTGAGCACACATCCTTAGCTTAAGGACAAAGTCCTCTGGTCATGTGGAAAGAGCTTTTTCCAAACTTCCCCATTCGCTCTTTAACTCTGTAAGAAAATCTAAAGGCTCTAGTATGAGAAAAGGAAAAATTCATTAGTACACCCAAGCTCTGCATAAATCACCACTTCAAAAGTGACTTTTTTATAACTTTTTTTAAAAAGTGAACATGAATGCAATTAAGACATGCAGGTGTCAAATTTTCTGTCCATGTTAGGGCATGCAATATTGATTAGTTGGAACAAATCAAAACCCTTTTCATTTTCTTTATAACTCAGTTAGTAATTCATGGTTCAAAAAAGGGACTAAAAAAGGTCTAAAAAAATCCCAAGTAAGTAAAGACTTTGATCATAGTGCTGTTATTCTATAGAAAACTCTAAAACTATCAAAAACATCATAAATTATATATAAACACTCACTTCTTAAGACACACTAGTATTAGGAAGATCAAAACCTAGTAGCAAAAAAATGTTATTTCCTTTCAGTAAACAACTAACAACTGGATTTTCTTCTTTTTTTTTTTAAATTTTATTTTATTATGTTATGTTAATCACCCTACATTACATCATTAGTTTTTGATGTAGCGTTCCATGATTCATTGTTTGCGTATAACACCCAGTGCCCCATTCAATACGTGCCCTCTTTAATACTCATCACCAGGCTAACCCATTCCCCCCACCCCTCCCCTCTAGAACCCTCTGTTTCTCAGAGTCCATAGTCTCTCATGGTTCATCTCCCCCTCCGATTCCCCCTCTTTATTTTTCCCTTCCTACTATCTTCTTCTTTTTTTTTTTAAACATATAATGTATTATTTGTTTCTGAGGTACAGGCCTGTGATTCAAGTCTTACACAATTCATAGCGCTCACCATAGCACATACCTTCCCCAATGTCTATCACCCAGCCACCCCATCCCTCCCACCACCCACCACTTCAGCAATCCTCAGTTTTTTTCCTGAGATTAAGAATTCCTCATATCAGTGAGATCACATGATACATGTCTTTCTCTGATTGACTTATTTCGCTCAGCATAATACCCTCTAGTTCCATCCACATCGTTACAAATGGCAAGATTTCGGTTTGGTTTTGTTTTGTTTTTTGATGGCTGCATAATATTCCATTGTATATATGTACTACATCTTCTTTATCCATTCATCTGTCAATGCACATCTTGCCTCTTTCCGTAGTTTGGCTATTGTGGACATTGCTGCTATAAACATTGGGGTGCACGTACCCCTTCGGATCCCTGCATTTGTATCTTTGGGGTAAATACCCAGTAGTGCAATTGCTGGGTCATAGCGTAGCTCTATTTTCAACTTTTTCTTCTAATTACTGATCATGCATCAGATTTATTTCAGTTCATGTATACAAGCATTCCATGATTTTGTATTTTCATTTTAATTCTAAGTTCACTGACATGCCTGGCAACCACACCTTGGTTCAAACTCTTTCGGGGAAGTTTCTAAAAGTGATCTGTAATGTATCTCCCACAAGATATCACTGTGTACTTATTATAGAGAAAAAAGTCCAGGTCCTTGAGACAAGTGATGGAGACAGCAGGGGCACCCTGGCAAAGAGGCAACATTGAAATAATTTCTCTAATTTGTCTAATTCTACCTTGTTAAAGTCTTCCTAATAATAAAATTGAATGAGGTTTAGAAATGAATGGATTTTCTTCTCCTAGGGACCAACCAGCAAATCGATTTAGGAATAACCTTCTTTGCCCACATATGCTAACTTGACTTAACCCAGTGCACTGAAAATCCATCAAAATATAGTTCAGCTTATCCCTTCGTGATAACAGAAAAACAAAAACAAATACAAAGTTAGCGACGTCCTCACTCAAGCTACTGCTTTCATTTCTCTTTGAAGAGAGCAACACAGTAGCTGTGTAATGGAGCCTCTCCATTTTTACTCACCCATCTCGTCTCCAGAAATAACCACCCTGAGCCAAACTGCAGCCTCAACTTGCTTAAATGAGTGCTCTGTGATGAACTACCAGTAGTTTTCCCAAGCAGTGTTTGGGTTCTTATTGGAATGTGCTCATTTCTCTTATAATCTTAAAAATGTATCTACACGTGTTATAATAAACTGACTTCATTTACAAATGACCATAAAGACTAATCATGGTGAGTCCTTATCAGTGAGAGAGAGAAAAAGAGAGAGAGAGAGAGAGACAGCCTCTCTCTGAAATAGCATAATTTAGGGTTCAATATTTAAGATGTAATATTCCAACATTTTCAGCTGTTGGACCTGGTCCATAGAATTTAAATTAAATAGTCTGCCTGTCTTCTTCCACAAATTCCTTTAAAAAAAAAAATCTTTAAAGTCAGATTACTTTTTCAGGTCAGAGGACCAATTTGAAGTCACATTTTCTATCCTGTAATATATTCCTTTCATCCTCTTCACTTTCCATGAAAATAAACCAGTCTAAGATTGCATGGCATCTCTATCCTCAGAAAGCCTTCACACAAAAGTTTCCTGCTGGTCTGGCATGACACTTGGCACTCTGAGGTTTTCCTGTCCCTGCAGGCCCTAGAATATATTCAGGCTTTCAGCCAAGAATCAGGAGGTTGGAGTGCAGGGCTATTTGCCAGCATCTAAAACAGAGAAGCAGTTCACTTTAACACTATACTTTGCGACATCCGTTTATTAAAGCATTTGTTAGAGCCCAACACTGTTGAGGGAAGAGAACACCCCCACTGGGATGCTCCTAGGGTAAACTTCATCTCCACTCACAGAGCCCACATAGGAGAGATCTAGTTTCCATCCTGACATGGTGAGATTTTCATGAAAGCCACCCGAAGCCCTCTATAGTGAAGGTCGCACGTTCTAGAGAACAGAGCCCTGCCTCCTAAGCCAGCATCCTGAATGGGCTTCTCCCTTCAGTCATTGAGTAACTCTGCAGAGGTCACCTGCCCTTCCTGTCTCAGATTGTGTCCACACACAAAGAAAATTTAGGTTAGAAAAATGCTTTAGCTTCAAGAATGCAGATGCTGGAGGTGTTTGCCTAAGTCATAAAATATTAGAGAAGAATTATACACCTACAAAGTAGGTCTAAACACATTTTTTTCAGTTACAAAGTTTCTAAGAACTGTAACAGGATTAGAACATTGCTCTCACAATTAATCAAAGTAATACAGATTTGAAGGCTCTATTTCAATGGAAGGTGAAAATAACAGCAAGAAGAATACAAAGAATGTAGAAAGCACATCTTTCTCTAAGGTGCCCACATGTTTCATGAGCAACCTGCAGTGTACCCAACAGGCCACTCGGAGGACAGGGGTGGCAAAGAAAGCAGAACTAAAAAGCCTGCTTCAGTCTTAATTCACCCAAGTCTAGCTCCTGCCTTGGCAGCATACCTTGTCGCTATCGAAAGACACTCGTACTCTTCCTTATGGCCGGGCGCTGCAGTGCGACATACAGCAAGAGGCGAGCTCTTCTCCCAGAAAAGTGAGTCTCTGTATTGCCCCCCTATCTCTCTGTTTCCCTTTCCTTTTCTTCCCTTAGATTCAATTTTGATCCCCTACTTACAAAGTTTTCGGGGATAGCCATACCCTCAGAAAATAAGACCTGCATTTTCCATTGGGTATAAGGAAAGAAAAGTGTGCCATACCTTGTGTAAACTGAGTCACACTGTAGTTGCCTCTGTCCAGGTTGAGGAGATATCCGTGTTGAGGGGCCTCTGTCACAATAAACCTGAGAGAAAAATGTAGACTGTCTCTGTCCTCCGCTTTCAGTATTTTGCTTGTGATCATGAAGCCCAAGTGACCAGTAGCCAGAGTGCGAAGTGTGGAGGCCCCTTTGTTCACGGCAATTTGGGGGACACTATCGTCAACAGCTAAGACCTGGATTTTCATCACTTGGGGTCTCCTTGTTTCAAATATTGTATCAGGGAAAACATAGAACTCTGTATGGGAACCATCAGTCACCGTGAAGGAGAAGCTGTCTTCACTCGACTCAGTGCCATCATGTCTGTAGCTGATTAAGTTTTCATTCAAGTCTTGCTTGGTAAAAACCGTGGCAGGTCTGGTATTGTTGAATAGGAGTTGACCATGAACAGGCACCTGGGTGACAATGAACTTCAGAAGTTTGTCAGGAGTATCTCTGTCTTCGGCAGTGAGTTCAAAGGGAGTGATCAGCTTGTTTTCACCCTCACTGACAACCAGGTTATGGATGGTGACCACTGGCTTTTTGTTATCCACATCACTAATGGAGATACGGAATGTCCGGAAGACAGGGTTACGTCCATCGGTGACTTGAAACTCAAAGCTGTCCATCTTGACTTCATCATCAGCTGTGTGGATGTAGTAGATTTTGTTGCCAGCCAGTTGGAGCTGAGTGAAAGATGTGATGGATGCTCCAAGTTGATCTGTGCACTCTAAGTGACCTCTCATGGGAGCCCTGGTGATGGTAAAAACTAAGTTTTCATCAGGACTGTTCAAGTCACTGGTGCTTAGTAAGTCTGTTGTGAGGGTGACTTTGCCACCTTCTTTCAAGGATACTCCCTTGCTTATCACATCTGGGAAGACAATGTCAATGCTCCCAATGGAAACATAAAAGTAGCGATCTATGAGGGCATTTATTCCATCAGTCACATCAAATTTAATTAGGTCCCGAATGCCCTCTTGTCCAAAATGGACATACTGGATTAAGTTTCTGTCCACTTCATCCTGGGTGAAATTCATGCCCAGTGTGATATTTTCAAAGGCACCTGTAGGTTTTTGTCTCTGCAATAAGCCGTGTCCTGGCCCATAACGAATAATATAAACCAAAGATTTGTCTTCAGAGTCCAAATCAGTTGCCATTAATATTTTGTTGTTGATAATTTTGGTTTCCCCAATTTCTATTTCTAGTCCATTATTGATGGTCATTCTGGGGGTCTCATCATCAACTGGGATAACTATAATGAGGACCATCCTTTCCACTGAGTGCTTACCATCCGTTAGTCTTATCACAAAACTGTCTTCCTGAGTCTCAGAGTCATCATGCTCATAAATAATGCTTGAACTCTCTATGATCTGGTCCAAGGTGAAGCTTTCAACCAAAACTGTGCCATTTATCAGCTGGTTCATGATGTGACCGTGAGTAGGAAATTGGGTAATAGTGAAAGTTAGATCATCCGGGGGAATGTCAGCATCAGCAGCATTGAGGATGGGCGTATCGATCACCAGACTCATGCCTTCCATCACCATAAATTCTCTCATAAATATTTCCGGCTGTTCATCATTGGTGGGAATGATGACAATGGGGAAAAAATGTCTCTCTGAAAAGTTAATGCCATCAGAGCAACGAAATATAAATCTGTCTTCCACAGGCTCGACCCCTTTATGGACACTCTGGACATAGTTAATATGACTCTGCCTGAGGTCTTTCAGGGTAAAGGCACTTACAGCGATTCCTGCTCTTGATTTCTCAGAGCCTGGAGCTGGCGAAATGTTTTCAACATAACCGGAGGTAGGCTGAATAACTATGGTGCACAAGATGTCATCAGTTAATGAATCAGTATCTTCAGCACTTATATGTGTTGAGGTTATAACACTTTTATCACCTTCCACGACTATAAACCGTTCACCCACAGAAATTTCTGGAGCCTGGTTATCAACAGGGAGGATGGTCACCCACACGGTAACTCCTTGGATAGTACTGCCACCTATTACCCATTCTTGAGACATATCTGACAGACTCAGGTTAAATGAGTCCCCTCTGGGCAACAAGCCTATCTCACCACTAGTGTGGGCATAGACGACAGAGCCCTCTAAGATGTCCCTTTGGGTAAACTGCTCTGCTGGAACTCCGTTGACCAGGATTTCTCCATATAAGGGTGGATCTTCCAAGACGAAAGTCAACATCAAATCATCAGTGTCCTCATCAGTCCCCTTGATTACACTGGCAGTGATTTCAGTAGCTCCATTTTCTAGAACATCTAGATATGACCCCAGAGTGCCAGCAGGAAGGCTCAGCATGGGGACCTCATCATCCACTGGCCGGACATTTACTCTAAGAGTGATGGGCACCACGTGGTGTCTGTCGCTGACCTCCAAGGAGCAGCTATCAGTGAGAGACTCATCCCCGTTATGGGCATAGGAAATCCGACCCTGTTTTATGTCTTCCAAGTGGAAGACCTCCCCTACATGCAGTATCCGTCCAGACACCCTCATGTGGCCATGTTTGGGCGCCTGTGTGAGAGTGAAAGAGATGTGGGCCATGTCAGTGTCTACATCAACCACATGCAACTCAGTCTCACTCAGGATGTGGTGGCCCTTCTCCTGAATGGTGAAACCAGTGTTGAGGATCTCGGGTGGCTGGTTGTCCACTGGCTGCAAGTAAAGGGTGAAGGTGCCCGGAGCCACATTCCCAGCTTGGTCCTCCACCTGGAACTGGAACTGGGCCACTCGGGCAGCCACTCCCAGTTCTTGCTCCGGGGGTCTGTAAGCAATTTTATGGTGGTTGATCTGGGCTTGGGTAAAATGGGCCACCACGACTGAGGGGTTTTCAGTCAGGACCAAGGTGCCCAGTGGGGTTGGTGAGTGGTTTTCATCTGTGTCCATGGGGGGCTGGGTCACTGTGTAACGCAGTTCTCGGTCATCTGTGTCCAGGTCAGTGTAGCGAAGCCACTTCCTCCTCAGCGGGGTGAGCTGGGATTCCTGCACCACCATCCGAAGGGGACAGCCGCTGCCCAGCTCTGGAGGGAGGCGATCCACAGGATGAATGCGTATCACAAACCTGTGTGGTCCCGACTGATTAGGGGGGTCATGGTTATCCTGGACTCGAAATGTGAACTGGTCCATCACTGGCCCGGGACTATGGGGCCCCGAGTGCCTGTAGAACAGCCTCCCCTCGGTTATGTCCCGCTGCCACCACTCTGTCACCGTTTGCTCATAGAATGCTCCCTGTCTCCTCCAAGGGCCCCTGCTCAGTTCCTCCTCCTCCTCCTCACGGGGAGGATGAGTTTGGCGGAGAAGCAGATGCCCTACGGTTAAGGAGGGCGGCTCCAGCACAAAAAGCAGCAGAGAGTCATCTGAGTCAATGTCAGTTGCACTTAGAGCAAGCGGCAGGATGGGCGCCGTTTCACCTTCTGCCAGTGTCAGCCCCGTGTTAGCATTGAGGACTGGTGGTTGGTCATCCACAGGCACTAAGGTGATGGGGAACAGGAACTGCACCTGGTGCCTGCGTCCTCCATCCACCATTCGAAGGACGAGGTTGTCACTCAGTGAGCCATCTTTGTCATCGTGATGGTAGACCACCTGGCCAGCCGCTAGCTCAGCCACTGTAAAGGTCCTAGGGGCAGCATTGCCATCGGTGGCCCCCAGAAGAACAAGGTGACCATGCCGGAGCCCAGCCACCACCTCCAGCTGCACTGCCTCCAGGTCATCCTCGTCGCTGATGACCAAGTTTTGTGGTCCGATGCCCGCAGGCCCTGTAAGGGGCCGAGACTGGCCCTCGTAAAGAATGAGACCAGTGTTCCGGGTGACCACGGGAGCCAGTGTGTTCATGGGTTTCACCACTACCATAAAAGCAAAAGGGTCTGAGGCAGCTCCTTCCGGGTCCACTACCTCCAATTCCAGTTCAAAGAGACGCTCCTGGTCAGAATCCTCAGACGGGGGCTGGTAGGCAATCTTCAAGAGTCGCAGGTCCCTCTGCGTGAAGGAGGAGAGGGGCAGGCTACGATCATCAGTACTTACTAGGTAGCCCTGGCCAGGCTGGAAAGGAGAGGTGAGGTTGAAGATCAACAGGTCAGAAGGCGACTCAGCATCCTCGGCAGCCAGCATGTCCGGGGTCAGGGCCGTGAGTACAAACTGGTCCACCTCCATCATCATCATGGCCACAAAACTGGGCTTGGGTGCGGTGTTCTCAGCCCCTCCTCGGATTCTCACCAGCACCTGGAAGTGCTCACGTTTTAAAGGAGGCCTGCCCAGAGGCGAACCTCGAGAGCGCAGCTCCACCACCATGGGCACCCAGTCCCTGTTTGGGGACCGACTGGGGGCCGTGTGGCGGTAGCGCACGCCTAGCTCCTGGAAAGCTTTGCAGTCCATCAGGATTGGCTCCTGGGCGCCCCCCTCGCTGGCTCCACCTGGAACCTGCGGGTAGTGAAGGAGTTCCCCGTAGCGAGGCAGCGCGCTCAAGCCGGACAGGATGCCCACGCGACACTCCTCGGTCTCGGGCTGGTAGGCGAACTCCAGGCTCCGCGCGTCCAGGGCATTGCTGGTCCCCAGCAGCTCCTCCACGACGAGGGGCAAGTTCCGAGTCACAACCTCCAGCTGGGTGAAAAGCACCTCCACCTCCAACACCAAGGGTAGCACTGCTGCCCCTCCCGGAGCGTCGTAGCGCAGCTGCAGCCGAATGCGATCCCGCGACGGGCTGCGCGCGCCCAGGTGCGAGTAACGCACCTCTCCCGGGCCGAAGTCGCACGGGAAGCGCTTGGGACTCAGGCGGCCAGGCCTCTGGGCCAGCGCGTCGTTGTCTAGCACGCTCACCGCGCAGCGGTCCCCCGGCTGCACCTGCAGCACCAGGTCGTGCAGAGGATCCAGCCAGACCTCGCGGCCGAAGGGCACCCGCAGCCCACGGTTCGCCAGCACTATGGCCTCCTCGGCGGGGACCCCTGCAGCCCCCGCGAGATCCGGGGACAGCAACGCCCGGCCAGGGGCAGCGGGCTGTGCCGGGACGCACCTTACCAGTGACAGGAGAAGCAGCAACAGCAGCACGAGGCGGGGCGGCAGCGCAGGTATCGGCTGAAAACTGGGGGGGTGGGCCACCCCGCCGGCGCGGGAGGCAATCCGGGGGGTCCTGGCCGCGTGCATGATCCGGGTGTTAAGAGTTCGGACAGGTCAGCCTTAGAGAGCGCAGTCAGTCCCCCGGCAGGGAGCAAGAGACCCCTCCGGAAAGTGCCAGGAACCCCGTACTCTGTAGCCGCGGCTGGGCCAGGATGGAAAGTTGCGCGGGCCGGGCCGGGCTGGCGCTGCTGCGGAGGCTGAGCCCCTGGCCGTCCCGCTCCGCCGCCGGCCGCACACTGGCTGGGAGAACCAAGTCCCTCCACTCCTGCTTCCCAGGTCCCGGACCTAGAGCTTTGAGGGAAACTCCTTCCCTAGCACCCCTTTACTCCAGTCCTCCCAGGAGGCCAATCGTTGGTCCCGGGAGGAGGCCCCGAGTCCAGGGTTGGGTAGTGATATCTGCCAATCAGCTCCTAGGGGCGGAGGCGGGGAAACCGAGCCGAGGGGAGGAGATACAAGGCTCTACAAGTTGTCCTGGAAGCGAGGGGGTACTGGCGATCTCGGGGTGCCCACCTTTGCTCACGTTTCGCTCCGGGATGCCAGGGCTGGGGTTCCAGCAGAGGAGTCGGGACATGCGGCTGGGCTTGCATCAGTTCTTCAGCTGCCTGGGATCCAGGATTACCCATTTTAGCTCCCGTCCCCTTCAATTCGATGCGGTCTCGCGCGGGGGAGCGTGTGGTTATTGCTCACTGAAATTTGCAAACCGGAGAGGAAAGTTGTTCGCAATGTCGCTTGCGTTTGACTCGAAACCCAGAGCAGTTTGGGAAGAAAGGCTGGGGCTTATTTGCAAAAGGACAGCTAGAATTAAAAGCCAATGCTAGAGCAGGTTGCTCACACCCCCCCCCCCCCGGGGCCGCTGCGCTCTCCTCGTAAATTACAAGGGGGCACAGTCCTTGGTGGTGAGTTTTAAACAAGCCCCTCCTTTGCAACCAAAGTTCAGAGTAGGAGTAAAAGAGGTGGGTCGGGAGGGACGTTTGGAATGCGTGAGAAATGCAGTCAGTCCGATCGGAATAGCGAGACTAGCACCAAAAAATAAGATCTAGGGAATGTAGCCCCAGGCTCTCCCAAAGCAGCCGCTGTTCGGGTAGCTGTCGTTAGAAACGTTCCTGTTCTCTTTGCAGTAATTAGACCAAGTACAAACTAAACCTACTTGTCCACATCACATTGCTTTGCATGCCAAGAGAATTGATAAATATCCGGAGGGCCAACGAAAATAGGTTAGCTCCCATTTCGGTGAGCCGGTTTTTAAGTCAGAGTTTGAGCTCTTCCTGCCCCCTTGTGTTTGTGCGGTTTGAAAGTGTGCGGATTCCCCTTCTGCAAGGTTTCTTAACAGCACGCACCTCTTCGAAGAAAAAAGAAGAGCCTTCACAAGTTAAAACCCAGCCATTTCCAGATTCGTTTCTTGAGCAGTCTCGTTTACTTATCCTGATCAAAATGTTTTCTTTTGGAGAATGTTGTTTTCTGTTCAGTAACACAAATCAGATTATTAGTGGGAATATAGAATTGGAATCATGGTCATCCTGCCCTTTTCCTGTTTAAAAATAGTTTAGATTTGGGAAAGAAAAGAGTGTAAGACACTGCTGTGACATTTTCAATTTCAGTGAAAATTGAAGATCTAAAACGCAGATGGAGGTACATTTCGGTAAGAAGTACTTATCTTTATCAACCCTTCCAGGACGTTCCCCTGAGCTTCTCCAGTCCAGAATTTTGATCCCTGCCGGCACACTCACAGCTACTTTCCGGATCACAACCCAGCCTCTATATGGAGTATTGCTGGGAAGCGTCAGATTCTGCTCCAGGAAGACCACTGAGCCATGTTTGTCCCTGGGAGTTAGAGATGGAAAATTCTGAAATCTTTCAAAAAAAAAAAAAAAAAGCCAGAGAGAGAGAGAGAGAGAGATTAATTTAAAGGAGCCACTCATACCAGCAAACAAATGACATGTAGTTAATTGAATATTAATTGAACTAATTCTTAATGCTTTGCACTTTGGGGGAGCTTTTAACTCCCACTTATGATTGATGAATACATTTCACAACTTAGTATAAAATGAGCATCCAGGAACCCAGAAGGGATGTGGCTGAAATTTTAAACATATGAGAAAACCCCATCCAAGTCCACCGATTTCCAATTCACTTTGGTGTTATTATTTTATACCTTCTTATAATGATTCATTATTGCAAACAGAATTCAAATTGTAGTGACAAGGGGAAATTTTACTCTTTCCCGTTCACAAATAGAACAAATGGAAAGATGCCAAATGAAATAGAACATCAGTTTCAGAATATGGGTCTTTATATATTATATTTCAAATTCTGGTCACATACTTTGAAAACTGTCAACTGGGAGCTGAGTGATTCTTATTCAGGCCTTGTGACCCTAGGTCCACTCTGACCAGAACCAGACCAACAGCCTGACCCCTTGATGCTTCCCAGTGGCTCCAGGCTTTTCCTTTCTTCCTTTTAAAGTCCAACTCTGTTTGACTTGCAAGCGATGATAAGATCAGCATTTGAAGTATGGTAGTATGCCCAAAGGGCAGAGTTCAGTATTTTGTTTCATGGTAAGAAGAATAGAGGTCCACAGTTATTTTTAAGTAGCCTAAGGAAATCAATAAACTATAGTCTTTTTTTGACTTTTTAATTTAGACTGTCTTGAAGTGATGGAATGATTCTTACTCTTTTTTCTTTTTTTTTTTTTGGAGGAGGGGTAAGTGCCTTCATTATTTGTTGTTGTTTTTTTAATCACATAGGAAGTAACACATACTGTGATTTGCTTAAATATATTTTGCAAACATAGTTATTGATAAAATGGTGAAATATTAAATTCTCATCTGCAAGCATTATTTATGATGATAATCTCTCTTTAGGATAAATACCTCGGTGTTAAAAGATTTCTATACCTAAGTGGCAAGGAAATATTATTTTATGGCCAGTAGTCTTAATATCATAAGGGATTAAATAAGCTGGCAAACTTGTAATTTTTTTAAATCTGAGCTTAATTACTCAGTGCTCCTTTTATTATCCTTGTAACAGTGTGCTTCCTCTGGGCAAAATACTTTTTTTAAATTCTTAAAGTTGCTTAGCCTATGAAAAACATGCTAAAATGTCCCCTCAAATCAACTTAAAGCTGCAATTATTCATTGTTAAAACTCAAATGACCTCTGACCTAGGGTTAAGCACCAGAGAACCTATTTCCTAAAATAAAGAAGGTTCTGTGATGAATTGAAGATACAAGCGAGATATTCAGGTGTAAACCGACTCTGGTTAAATTTACACCTGGCTAAATTTTGAATGTAACGTTGCCATTCCAGAGTTTGTTTCACTTTTCTTATATCTCTCTCCTGGCCTGTAAGACCCCCTTAGAAAAGGTAGCTTCAAGGACCCCTGTAGAGTGCTCCCAGATGAATGATTGAAGCTTTATGCCAGGCACCTTTAAGGGCTCTCAATAGATGGGGCGCCTGGGTGGCTCAGTCGGTTGGGCGCCTGCCTCCGGCTCAGGTCATGATCCCGGAGTCCCAGGATCGAGTCCGGCATCGGGCTCCCTGCTCGGCGGGGAGTCTGCTTCTCCCTCTGATCCTCTTGCCTCTCATGCTCTCTGTCTCTCATTCTTTCTCTCTCAGATAAATAAATAAAATTAAAAAAAAGAAAATCCTTTAAAAAAAAACAAAAGAGCTCTCACTAGAATTGTAGTCTTTGATGGCTGCAAAATCATGGCTTGCCTGTAAACACCAAGCTTGACTGATTGCAGAGCAACGCTGAAGGGGGAAGCAGCCCTGGACTGATGGACCAAGACCTGGGTCCCCGCCTTGGCTCTGACGTCCACTCACCCCCTCCTCCCCTCCATGCCTGGATCTGCATGGGAGCTGGGCAAGCCTGGGGAGTTGTACTGTGGGGGCTTAAGATGCAGCTACCTCAGAGCGTGGGGCCCTGCCTTTGGCGGGCTGCTTTGGGTCCATAGCGCCAGGGGCCTGGCGTGGGGTGAGGCGAGACTGCCCCATCGTAGGCAGGGCAGGCGTGGGTTCCGGGTCAGCTTCTCGTACCTCAGATGTTCTGTTTGCAATAAATGCCCTATAGCCAAAAAAAAAAAAAAAAAAAAAAAAGCGATTCTCTCTCTTTTGCGACTACAGTCTCCATAACTGTAAACCAAGGGGCTCAGTCTTCTCGGACAAATTCTCTTTCGGGTCCCCTTTGGTTTTGGTGTTGGTGCCGTGAGACCAAATTTTTTTTTTTTTAAGATTTTATTTATTTGGGCGCCTGGGTGGCTCAGTTGGTTAAGCGACTGCCTTCGGCTCAGGTCATGATCCTGGAGTCCCTGGATCGAGTCCCGCATCGGGCTCCCTGCTCGGCAGGGAGTCTGCTTCTCCCTCTCCCACTCCCCATTTGTGTTCCCTCTCTCGCTGTGTCTTTCTCTGTCAAATAAATAAATAAAATCTTAAAAAAAAAAAAGATTTTATTTATTTGACAGAGAGACACAGCGAAAGAGGGAACACAAGCAGGGGGAGTGGAAGTGGGGGAAGCAGGCTTCCCGCTGAGCAGGGAGCCCGATGCGGGGCTCGATCCCAGGACCCTGGGATCATGACCTGAGCCGAAGGCAGACGCTTAACGACTGAGCCACCCAGGCGCCCCGCCATGAGACCAAATTTATGGATGACCTGCCATTTGGCTTCCTCATGTTACTTTTTAGTTTACCGTGCTCCTTCTATCTACAGTATTCTCCCGAACGGCCTGTGGGAATCAATCGGAAATTTAAGAGCCCTACTAAGCTTGCAGACCACTTGCTGGAACTTCCTCATTTCATGGGCGAGGAAAGAGAACCAAAGAGGTTAAGACCCAGGAGTGGATCTGGAAAGGCAGAGAGATAACTGACTGACTGCAAGGTCAGTATCCATACCCTACCTTAAGCTCCAATTTAGCCTTTAAGGATGATGGCAAACACTTACTCCCCCGTGGAAATTTTGTTCGTCTACCCAACCTAGTATGAGCTGTGCGCCTTTTGACTTTCTCATACCACCTCCTCCCCTTTGCGCCATATGCCTTTACTTATATCTCTTATGAGATCCCTCTGACTGTTCGTTGTGTTATAGTCGTCTGAGTTCTTGTTGTGCCCTTCACTGTTTTGAAAGCATCTTGAGCTCACAGGCTGCATGTACTCCTCCTTTACCTTCATAAAGATCTTAATAAATATTCACTACATGATATTAGATCTCAATTTATCATTTCCCAAGCAATTTCACTTGAAATAACTCAGCCAGATAACTCACGACAGCTTCGCAAGGTAACCAGGTATGTTACTCAGTTTTCTTAGTAGCAAGCGACAGACACGGACTGGCTGAATTAAGCAAAAAGGAACTGAAAAAATAGTGAATCGCTCACATCATTCCTGGAAAGGCAGCAACGTAAGCCTCAGAAAAGTGAACATGA